TGCAATGTAGGTCTTGGACCAGGATATAGGTCTGGGTGCTGGAAGAGACGTGTGGTCACTAGGGGGTGCTATGGGCCCACAAAGGAGTTTTGGGTAAAGGGCAAGACCTCAGGGATTATGAATTGGTGGTCAGGAATAGCCTAGATATTTAAATTCCAATAAAGGAATAGGCAGTGGGTTCAAGTCTGTGTCCCCGGAATGGCCTTGTGATCCTCACCTCAATAATGGTCTAGGACCTGATTGTAGGTTCTCAGCCCCACCATGATAGTCTGGCTCCTGGAGGTAGGTGTGAGCCCCAGGTGGAGGTCTGGGTCCTGTGAGGGCAGTTCTGGCCCGGAGGGAAGTCTAAGTACCAGAAGTGATCTGGCACCTCACCTGAACACTGGGTTATGGAATGGTTGTTGGGTTTATGCATAGAGATCTAGTCCCCGGTTACAAGTTGTGTTCGAGGTTTTTTACCTGGGTCTAGGGTTGGCCTTCTCGGCCCCGCCATCATCAAGGTCTGGGAACCGGATGTAGGTCTGAGCCCTGATATAGGTCTGGGTGCTCGAGCAAGGTGTGGCCAGGGGGCACTACGGACCCAGGTGTGAGGTTTGGGGCAAGTGCAAGCCTGGGATAATGAAATGGTGGTCAGGACTATCCTGGATATTTAGATTCCAATCAAGGAACAGGCACTGGCTTCCAGTAGGGTTCCCTGGAATGCCCTTCTGGTCCTCACCCATAACGGTCTGTGACAAATAGGTAGGTCTGAGGCCTGGATGGAGGTCTGGGTCCTGGGAGGGCCATTCGGTTCAGGGAGGGCCATCTGGGCCCCTGGGGGCGGTCTGATACCTCACCTGGACATCTGTTGAGGTTCCAGGTACGTATGTATACAAATACATATCTGTCAACAAAATGAATCTAAAAATCAGATGAGGGGGAGGATCCAAGATGACTGCACAGGAAGTGGCCAATAGTGGTTGAGCTGTCCTGATCTTCCTCAGTTTCTGCTTTCAAAGTTGCCCCAAATAAAACACAATCTGTTCTGCTTGTTATTAAATAGATAAATAAATAAATAAAAAATCAAAATCAAAATCAAGTGAATAAAAAAATCTGATAAACAGAATAAATTAGTGAATATAATAGAATCATGGTTATAGAAAGGGAGTGGATTGACAATTCTCGGGAGGAAATGGTTGTGGGGGGTGTCGGGGTGTCCAGAGACTGGACAAAAATTGTACACTTAGAGTTGAGGACAATGGGCGGGGGCGGGGTGGGGAAGAGGAGGTAAGGGCAGAAGGTGCAATGGGAACCAGGTGAAGAGAAGATATAAAAAAAGAGGAACAATTATAATAATCTGAACAACAAAGATTTATTCAATTAAAAAAAAGTTTCTTGTGCCTTTTGATTCTCTGATGCCTACAATATTTGTCAGCTGGTTCTGCTGCACAGTTAGGTGTGGGACCACTGTACCACATTAAGGTGCCTGCACATGTAGGGAACTGAAGTCCTGGAGGAAGATAAAAGCAAAAAAAGTAGAAGAAAATATACTTAAAAGGAAGAATGAGACCAGGAGAGTATTATGCTAAGTGAAATAAGCCAGCCAGAAAAAGACAAATAACCATATGATTTCACTTATATGTAGAATTTACTGAATAAAATGAACTAACCATCAAAAGAGAAATAGACTCATAGATAACAAATGGACAGCTGTCAGAGGGGAGGGATTGGAGGACTGGGTGGAAAGGTGAAGGGATTAAGAAAAAAACAAAAACAAAAAAAAACAAAACTTCAAAAACAACAACAGTATGGTGATTACCAGAGGGAATGGGGTGGGGAGGTAGAAGAGGGTAAAGGGGAGATAAATCCTGATGGAAAGACTTGACTTGGGGTGGTGGACACACAATACAATAGGCAGGTGATGTGTTATAGAATTGTACCCACAAAACCTACATAATTTTATTAACCAATTTCATCCCAATACATTCAATTAAAAAATTTAAGAATGATTGGTCTTCTAATTCTCTCCAGATAAACTATGCTGCACTGACTACTTGTGGTGAGATAGAGGGTATAGCAGAGAACTTTCTAGACCAAATCCACAACAAAATTTCTTCTAACATGGTTCTTCCTGAGCTGCATAGAGCTGCAGGATCCTGAGCAAAGCTGCTCTGGATGGAAAGGTGAGGCCACTATTGGTAAGCCGTGGGAGGAGGCGTGACTGTGGGAAGCTGAGCTAAGAAGGGGTAAGGCACTCTTGCGAGGCTTCCAAGGATGTGACCTCTTCCTCTAGGCAGACACTACTTTGGTGCTTTTAACTTTCCTCCACTGCCGGAATTCATTAGCAACTTTTCTTAATCTGAAGTCCATTCCGGAAGGCTACCCTGGAGCAAACAGGTTCAGGTTGTGGCCCAGAAAACATTTGGATAATGAGGTAGAAAATGTAAACCCTAGCCCACACTGGAGACGATTAGGGCAGGAACTTTGTGCCAGCAGTCTGGCGACTAATTCTTGACTTAGCTTTGGCCCTAGTTTTATTAGATAGTTTTTTCTTGATTGCCTTCTCTGAATTGTGTTCTGTGTACTTCTGTGTACTTCTTGTAGATAGAGTGAGTGGTGTAGATGGTAGTATTAGTATGGTTTCAACACATACATTGTAGTGAGTTAGCATGGCAAAAGTGGATTGCAAAGAAAATTCTGTAAAGTTTTAAACTGCCCCTCAATAGCTGTAATGTTGAAATCTGAATATGTTTAGCCCTTGTATATTTTCTTTCCTGGCCCCTTCCCTTCCCTTCCCTTCCCTTCCCTTCCCTTCCCTTCCCTTCCCTTCCCTTCCCTTCCCTTCCCTTCCCTTCCCTTCCCTTCCCTTCCCTTCCCTTCCCTTCCCTTCCCTTCCCTTCCCTTCCCTTCCCTTCCCTTCCCTTCCCTTCCCTTCCCTTCCCTTCCCTTCCCTTCCCTTCCCTTCCCTTCCCTTCCCTTCCCTTCCCTTCCCTTCTTCCCTTCCCTTCCCTTCCCTTCCCTTCCCTTCCCTTCTTCCCTTCCCTTCCCTTCCCTTCCCTTCCCTTCCCTTCCCTTCCCTTCCCTTCCCTTTCCTTTCTTCCTGGTTTGTTAGATGTGACGTTTCCCTCTTTTCCTGAATGGTGAAGTTGTGAATGAGGGCATGAAGTTGTAAAAGAGAGACTCCTCTTATTTTCATGTCTTTTTATTTTTATTTTTATGAATCACCCATTTGTCTTCCTGGTGGATGTCTGCACTTCAGTTTCCTTATTTGTGATGTTAGCTACTCCTGGTCTGTGTGCTTTACTTCAAGAGGAAATATCTGGAGTAGAGCCATGAGACTGATTAGAGGAGGAAGAGACAGACGGCAAAAGATGAGAGGAGTTGTGAGAAGAGGTGGTGATACAGGGCTGATGGGTGTAAATAAGACCAACTAGGTTTCCTCTTATTTGAGAAAGAATGAATTTGGGTTATGGCCTAATCTAAGAAGGCCCTGACATATCAGAGATAATCTTTGAAAATAACATCCTAGCCAGTTTGAGTTCAACAGACTAAATTAAATTTAAGTTCCTCTTCGTTTGTATTACCTCAATGCCCCTCCTTCCTGCCTTGGTTTTAGGGCTTTTAGCAGTGAAAAAATGCCTAAATTATAACAATAATAGATTTACTGAGCATCTCTCATACTTTTCCTGGAGCATCCTACAAAAAAATTAGAGTCCAATAAGATTTTCTCCTTAAAACAATCTCATGGGTTACTCTAATGAGAAAAAAAAAAAATAGACCATTAAGACATTTTTTACACTTATTGTGATTTTAGAGGTGAAAGGGACTCTTGAGATTGTCTGGTCTCATTCTGAGATGAGAGACTGAGGTCCACAGTGAAGAAAAGACTTGCTGAAAGTCACTCAGATAGCTAGTGGTCGTGCGGATCCTGAGAAGCACAGGTGTGACATGGGGAAGGGGTGTCCCAGAATAGAGATGCCCATGTGTGATTTCCTGAGGCATCAGGGAAGCTTCTAAATCCATTTTTGTGCAGAGTCAATCATCAGTGTCCGCCTTAGTTACCTCTAAGCCTCCAGGCTGTGGCTAGGACACAGACTAGCCTCCTGCCTCCCCAAGATTATGTTTTAGAGTTTAGTCAGTCTAAAGTGAGTCTCAACAGCTGGAGTTAACAAGGGTGTGAGATACTTAGGCTGGAGGTGGGGAGTCAGTGGGAGACACAGCTTAGTCAAATTTCAATACGACAGACTCTGGGAAAATATTTTAGGTTTGTGCTATGAAATTTGGCCTCTTGCAGTAAAATGGGGTTTGTTTCATTTTCACCTATATATCTGCCAGTTTCCTTTCCTAATTTCTCTGTGCATTCTTCTAGATTCTATCAGGCTCTCTCCCACTAACTATTCCTTATCTCTCAGACTCCCAGAGCTACTGTAGGTTTTAGGGGAATGAATTGGAACATGAGCTGTGACCTACAAGTCAGTTTCCCCAGGTGGATAAACTCCACTGCAAGCCTCAGAGGGAGGGGCCTCCTCATCCCAGCAATCTGGCCCGGCTGCCAGACTCGTAGTTTATGGGGGCAGGGGAGTGGGTGGGGGCCGGTATTTCTTGGGCTTGTGAATAACTGCCTGAGTCGTTGCAGTCTAGGCAGATAAGACGCGAGTCCTTGGGGTGGGCAAGTCGCCTGGGCTGGGGATGCCTGGGCAGATGTGGAGACAGTTGGGAAGGTGGCACCGCAGTTGGGTTGCTGGAGCTACGCTGTTCCTAGGAGACGGAGGAGCGGCAAGCCTGCGGGGGAGGGGGAGCAAGTGGGTTGCTGCTTTTAGCTGCTGAAAGGACTGCAGGGAGCTCTGGGTAAGACATTTTCTGTTGCTGCTGCTTCTGCGGTAGAAGCTGCCGCTAGTAAGTCAGAGGAAGGAGGATCGAGAGGGAGGAGGCTTCATTTGCAGCCATGCTGAATCACTGTTGCTGATCAGATCTGCTGGCTGGCTGCGAGAACTGAGAACAGAGCTAGGATCTCTGGGTGCATGCACAATTCAGCAGCTGCCACCCCCGCTGGGCCTCGCACAATGGAGGCCGAAAGGTATGTATGTGCAAGTGTGTGGTGTGTGTGTGTAAGTGAATGTGTGCTCGTGCGGCAGCCACCAGCTTTTGTGTTTGCATTAGCTAGGCAGGGTCGGAAGGAAGACCTGGCCATTGATGGATCTCAGCGGGAGGCCGAATAGAGCAGGGAAGCCCTTTCTCCAGAGATTAGCTTCCATAAAGGCAGGTCTGGATTTGCTGGGCAGCGGAGCACCCTGAGAGAGGACTTCCTGGCTGGTGTTTGGGAATAGTTTCAGCATGGGCTGAATCAGGATTGCCTTTCTCAAGGCATTTCCCTTTTCTGGCTACTTTCCCCGCGGTGTTTTTTCTTTTTTAATGTGATAGCAGGGCTGGCCAGACATAGAGTGATTGCATTTTTACACTTAAGTGCTCAAATCTTCAGCAACCATGTTATGGTAATGTCGTTCCAGAAAGTGTGTGTGTGTGTGTGTGTATGAGAGAGAGAGAGAGAGAGAGAGAGAGAGAGAGAGAGAGAGAGAGAGAGAGAGTGCCTGCCTGCCTGCCTGTGTGCCTGTATACGAACACAAATTCAGGTAAGAAGGAGAGAAACCTATCAGATGACACTCTGATCTGACTTTCATTTGCATTGAAAAGTTTATAAATGATACTGGAAGGTGTGTTCTTAAGAGAAACAGTTCCTTGCTTCTTTCACCAGGGGTTTCTTATGAAATAGGAATCAGCAATTTGTCGAGCAGGATCTAACTAGTAAGGGTTTATTTCCTGGCAAGCACATGTTTGTAAATTTTAAACTATTATCTGGGGATCTGACTCTTTCACTGTGAAGGTGCCCAGTGCAGTGCACGGCGGGTCATTCCTCTGTGTGCCAAAACATCTCGTTGTGCCAGCCTTTCTCTGTGCATCTGCAGCTGATGGAGAACAAGGCTTGTCATTTTCCTCTAGGTGAGACGGCAGCAGGGAGGGGTCAGGCCATGCAAGTGCACCACTGAGGGAGGGCTGCTGCTTTGAGTTGCCAGTTTGATGCAGATGGTATGCTGCTGGTTAAATGATAACAGGTTTAATCAAACCCACACTGTCTGGAGAGTAAACACTTCCTGGGCACAGATTGCCCCAACTCTTGTACCTCCAGGTGCAGAGTGATGTCATTAAACATCTCTAGACCTTGTCAGGCCTGACATGATTGCTGGGTATCCTCTTTTCTGAACAGGTCTCAGGGGTTCTTTTTTTCTCTTCTCTTCTCTTCTCTTCTCTTCTCTTCTCTTCTCTTCTCTTCTCTTCTCTTCTCTTCTCTTTCTCTTCTCTTCTCCTATCTCTTCTCTTCTCTTCTCTTCTCTTCTCTTCTCTTCTCTCTCTTCCCCTATCTCTCTCTCTCTCTCTCTCTCTCTCTCTCTCTCTCTCTCTCTCTCTCTGTTTTTTTTTTTTTATTTTTTTTTTTTTTGTTAATCCTCACCTGAGAATATTTTCCCCATTGATTTTTGGAGAAAGTGGAAGGGAGAGAGGGAGGGGAGGAAGACAGAGGGAAGGAGGGAGTGAGGGAGGAAAAAAGGGAGAGAGAGAGAAACATTAATATGAGAGAGATACATTGATTAGTTGCCTCTTGCACGGTCCCCAACCAGGGCTGGGATTTGAACCTCCAACCCAGGTACATGCCCTTGACTGGGAATTGAACCCATGACCCTTCAGTACATGGCTAGAGTTCCAATCACTGAGCCACATCTGCCAGGGCAGGACTGTGTTTCTTGATGTGACTTCATGAGTCTGGGACTTTTTGGACAGAGTATGCTGCTGGTCTGTCCCTGGATACTCTTTGCAGCAGAAGCCTCGTGTTGGACTCCATGTAGCCTGTTTCCTACACTTGGGGCCTAGGTGGGCATTGTCTTCACCCTTCCATTGTATGGTATCTAGCAGTAGGGTGGGATGATGTGAATGGAGGTTAGGGGTTCTGGGCCAGGCCTATTTTCTTGACTCATGATATAATGGGCTGAAAGGTCCACCTGAAACTAGCAGCAGCAGATCGCAGGACTGCTTCCCAAGCATTTTTGGGCACCTAGTGTGTTCCCAGGATTGTATTAAGAAATGTAAGGGGTTCGTGCCCTCAAGGAACTCACTTGTACTTCAATATTCAGTGCCTTTCAGCCTGCATGGCTGATGTCATTTGCTTTATAATACCTGGTTTTTGCATATGTTCTTGTGATTTTCCTGTACTGGAGACAGAGAGTAGCGAGAAATACAAACTGAGCATCTTCCAACATTCTTCAGGTCACTCAGCTCATTATATTTTTGTTTCTACTCCAGGACCAACTTACCATGACAGGCATTTGTCTTCTGAAACCTGGCTCCAGTCTCCATTTCTATTGCTCACCATATGCCCAAGGGATCTATTGGTGTCTCTTGTGATTGCTCATCCTGTATTCCATCCAGACTCAGATCCTTACCTTCAGGCATTACTTTTGCCTAGAATACTTTACCCTTCCTTTTCCCAAGAAGTTTTAAAATCCCACTCTATCTGGGAAACCTCAGCTTTTCTGGTCCCAGTAATGCTCTTATGAATTCCAGTATCTCTAGGTATCTCATAGTTGGGTACTGAACAATAGATCCAGCTACCAGAATTTTTGTGCTTTTGTTTTTTATATCTTATAACACCCCAAATTTGGAGACAGGTCCTCAAGGACAAGGATGGTGCCTATATCTTGGAAAAGTTCTCAGTGACTGCTCTGTGTGTATAATAGGTCCTGGGTAATAATTTACTGATTAGTTGATTATTTTTGTAAGAAGTTCTGATAATTAAAAAGCAAATTGGTTAGAGAGGAGATTTAAAACTATTGGCCAATAGGTTCATCCTTGGATATCGGCCTTATTATCTCAGTACGGATAATTGACCCTGTGGAATGCTTTGAGGTAGGGGAGAAGCGGGGGAATTGGTCTTGTTTTACAAGTTCCCTGAGAAACTCAGGGTCAGAGAAGCTGAATGACTGGCCTAGTATCACATGTCAAACCTCCAGAGACTGGTGGAATCCTGAATGTGGGGCTTGTTCCACACTTAACCTGATGAAGCTTAATTGGGGCTATTTTTAAGCATTAAACATTTTCAGCCACGAGATTTTTTAATGAACAATTTTCTTTCTCTGCCATAAGGGTATGAAAATAACTCTACCTTTAAAGGCCACTAATTGAAAACATGGGTTTGGAGTAACAGAGATCTTGCAGTAAATCTACTTCATAAACTGTGTGACCTTGAGTGTGTCACATTTCTTTAGAAATAATTTTTCTTTTTGGTGCAAAAGGAGTACAATAGTATTTATACCTCATGGAATTGTTGTGAAGATCAAATGAGAAAAGATATAGAAAGCACCTAGTCAAGTTTTTCTGGCACAAAGGGAAGTAAATGGTAGTTGCTGTTATTGGTATTCATTTATTGCCCTGTTGAACCCCATGACACTAACATTGCTTATTTTAGGGCCTTCCTATATTTGTCATCCAAAGCAGATGATGTGGGACCATTCCCATGAGAAAATTAGGGAGAGCTTATCAGGCCAGGATTTTTTACCTGAACTATCTTCTCGTAGTCAAATACAGGGGTTGGCATTTTTTTCTTCTAGTTTTAACAAGACCTACCTCAGTCTTCTTTTTTATAGACACCCTGAGATTTGGAACCACCGAATACACCTTTGTTCAGGCTAAACTATTAAGAAGAACCTGTGAATTTTTTTAAAAAATATATTTTATTGATTTTTTACAGAGAGGAAGAGAGAGGGATAGAGAGTTAGAAACATCGATGAGAGAGAATCATCAATCAGCTGCCTCTTGCACACCCCCCACTGGGGATGTGCCTGCAACCAAGGTACATGGCCTTGACCAGAATTGAACCCAGGACCTTTCAGTCCACAGGCCAACGCTCTATCCACTGAGCCAAACCGATTTCGGTGAAGAACCTATGAATTTACACTAATTGTTGCATCCTGCCAGCTCTTCAGCTGTATGTCCTCTGAAGCTGTTTCCCATCTCTCTGTGTGAAGAATTGCTGTGACTTGGTTTGTCAGAGGAAGATGATTCTGTCTTCTATTTTGCAAAGGAAAAGGCTCTCAGTTACTACAGTGATAGCGTGTGTGTGTGTGTGTGTGTGTGTGTGTGTGTGTGTGGGTGTGTGTGTGTGTGCGCGCGCGTGCGCGTAGAGCAGATGGACATTGAAAATGGCAGTTGCTCTTGCTATTGGGATTTTATTTCAGTTCTGGAAATCAGGCTTATAGATGAATTAAAATAAATTTCTAACTTATATGAAATTCCTAGAGTAGTCAAATTAATAGAAACTATAACGGTGGTTGCTAATGGTTGGGGAGAGGGAGGAATGGAGAGTTATTGTTTATGGGTAGAGTTTCAGTTTGAGAAAATGAAAACGTTCTGGAGATGGATGGTGGTGATGGTTGCACAATTAAATGTACTTAATTGTCGGGGTTCTTTTCTCAGCCTTACAAAGGGTTCAGCATTCTGGAGAAAGAGGCTGCACATAGATGATTAAGGAGTCTGGAGACGAAAGATAATTTTGAAAGGCATTGAGGGTCAGAGGATTTTCAGCTGAAGGAGCTAAAGTCTCCCTCCTTGACCAAGGACCCTGTGCTTTTATTCAACACAGTTTGTCCCAAGGCAAGGCAGAGATATACACTTTAAAGGGCAATGTATCAAAAGGTACAGAAGCATTGTCAGTTTGGGGAATAGCCTACAGCTGTTCAGATATTTGGCCAAAAGGAGGCAATAAAATGCCCTGAGCAGTGTGTCTGGCAGTTAACAATCCTATTCAGGTTTGGGGGAAGTGCCATTTAGCAGTTTCAACAAGTAAACTACAAATGTGGTTCACCCTTGTTGAGCCGCCCAAGTTTCACCAACTTTTTGGTGAAATTCTTGTATTTATTACATGCTGGTATTGGTTCCCAGCACTTAATGCTGCTGAAATGTACAGTAAAAGATGGTTAAAATAGTAAATTTCATGTTACATTTATTTTGCCATAATTAAAATTTTATTTTCAG